AGGATTGGGGAGGTGGGTGTGGGTTGGCTTCCTGTGGCTCTGGGGTTTGGGAAGCTGTGTCTGTTGGTGGGTGGGGGGTGGGAGGGCAGTCTGGCTGGCCTGAAACACCCAGGCTCATGGGGTCACAGACATCTACCCAGACTGGATTGGAACTGGGAGGCAGGACTTGGTGCAGAAGCAAGTGGATATGGCATGGCTGGCAGGCAGGTGCCTAAGGTCCCGCTAGTCCCCTGCTAGTCAGCATGGTGGCCACCAGTCTCCTGGTCATGAAGGGGAGGTTGCTTAGTCCAAGGGAACCTGACATTGTGAAGGGGTATTTTGCTGGACCCGAGGCTCCAAATATATCTCTGAGGCTTTTTTCCATCAGGAGTGGATAGGGCTGGCTCCTTCTCCCTGCCTTTGCTGTCCCACTCACTCCTCTCTTGGTGCCGCTTGGGAAATACGTTGCCCACTACTTGTGCTGATGCTGCAGTTCTGACTGGCAGATTCTGGGAGAACTCAGCCACCTTTCTAGATCCTAACGGTCTAAAGCTTTTAACAGTTTCAGGTGTAGTGCAGGGAAAGTTTCTGGTGGAGGCCCCTTGGGCTGGGGAAAGTCTGGCTTACCCAGCTGCTGTGTCTCCCCACCCCCATACGTTTCAGATCATCGAGAAGCAGCCGGGCCACATTCGGAGTAGGGTTTTCCGGGAGGTGGAGATGCTGTATCAGTGCCAGGGACACAGGTAATGTGACCCACCCTCAGCCCCGAGCCATCTTTTAGTGGATGAATGGGCCTGAATGTCTCTTTACCCCCAGTGAGCATTTAAGGCAGGAGTGGGGAACCTTTTATCTGCGAAGGGCCATTTGGCTAATTATAACATCATTCATGGACCATACAAATTTATCAACTTAAAAATTAACCTGCTGCCTGGCTGGTGTGGCTCAATGGCTGGGCATTGAACCGTGAACCAAGAGGTCATCGGTTCGATTCCCTGTCAAGGGCGCATGCCCAGTTTTCGGGCTCTATCCCCAGTAGGTTGGGGCACGCAGGAAGTAGCCAATCAGTGTTTCTGTCTATCCCTCTCCTTTCCTCACTTTCTAAAATCAATAAACCATATTTTAAAAAGCTGCCCAGGTCCTGCAGCACCCCTGGGTGCAGGGGGTGAGTGCCAGCCCACGGGGCAGCCGGACATGGGGTCCTCGCCTCTGTCCAGTCTCCATTGGGCCGGGCTGTGACTCGGAACAAGTGTCGGAGAAGCCTTGGGGCCAGTGTCAGGACTCCTTGTTGTGGTGTGGGTCTGGGGGTCTGTCACTTATCTTCTGGGCGCCCAGGCACAGTTATGAAATCTTCCCCATCTGCTGGCAGGAGCTTGGCAAATCCCTGGCCTGTGCCCTAGAGGCAGTGGGATCTCTTCCTGCCTGGCACCGAGCAGCAAGCTCCACTCAGCCACAGGGCAGATGGGTGGGTGGCCAGCCTCAGACAGGGCTCCATCCCCTCCGATCCCAGAGGAGCCTGTGTTTGTCCTTGCCAGTGGTCATCCAAGCTGGGGCCACCAGGGTAGAGGGCCCTGTGGGGAGAGAGGACTGCTTGCTCAAGGTAGCCAGTAGAGGGGGCTCTGAACTCCTGCTGGGAATATGAGGAGACCCATGGATTGAGAAGGGGAAGGGGCTGGGCTGGGAATGGTTAGGTGGGGTGGTTGGGGAGCCACTGGCACCCCCACCACAGGCACCTGGGCTGCAATATCCTGTTTGCCCCAGCTTCCAGGCAGGTGTTCCCCTTAACCCTTACTGGTGTCAGGGCCATGGGGGATCTGGGAGGGTTGGCCCTGGGCAGGATGGATGAACCTCACTGTGTTCTCTAGACCCGCTGGGACCTTTCTTCTGCCAAGGGCCATCTGGATATTTATAATATCATTTGCAGGCCATACTAAATTATCAACTTAAACATTAGCCTGCTATATTTGGTTATTTAATTAACTCGCCCCTAATGCCTTGGCAGGGCCAGACCAAATGATTTCATAGGCTTTAAACAGCCCGAGGGCTATATGTTCCCCATCCTGATTTAGGGAGTTCCCACTGTGTCCCAGGCCGTTGTGAATGGACCCAGTGTTAGGCTGGCAGTCTGAGGTGGGCAAGATGGGTGCAGCCTGTGGGCCCAGTCCCAGCCTTCCTGTGGGCAGGTGGAGGTGTGTGTGTGTGTGGGGAGGGGGGTGTAGACCCTGAACTGGGCATGAACAAGGGCCTTAGGACGTCTCACTCCTGTCCTGCTCCCCTCCCCCATCCTAGGAATGTTCTAGAGCTGATTGAATTCTTCGAGGAGGAAGACCGATTCTACCTGGTGTTTGAGAAGATGCGGGGCGGTATGTGGGGCCTGGGAGACACATCCAGCTAGTTCCTAATGGGCTATGGGCTCAGAGCCACCTCGGAAGACCTATCAGAGGGTCCTGTATGTCAGAGGAGGCTTGTGGGCTCTGAGCTTCCTCTCCACACAGCAGCTCGGGTCAAGGATTTTGGGTCCAAGGAGGCCAGAGTGGAGGCTTCCCTACCAGGTGGGAGTGGGTGCTGGGCAGTGGCCGGGGGACACAGGGGTATTCTTACATGTTCTTTTCCTTCCCAGGCTCCATCCTAAGCCACATTCACAAGCGACGACACTTCAATGAGTTGGAGGCCAGTGTGGTGGTGCAGGACGTGGCCAGCGCCCTGGATTTCCTGCACAACAAAGGTGGCTGATGGGGTGGCTGCTCAGGGTACCACCTACTTTTTGCCATCCTGCCAAAGATGCTTCAGTCCCATGGATATCCAGCCTTGCCCCCAGTACAGCTGCCCAGGACTCCCTAAAGGTACACCCATCCCACCACTGACTCCTGGATGTTTCTACCCACAGGCATTGCCCACAGGGACCTAAAGTTGGAAAACATCCTCTGTGAGCACCCCAACCAGGTGAGGGACCCTGGGGGTTGGCCTTCCCTGCGGGATGGGCCCTGTGCAGGCTGGACAGGACCGCCAGCCACCTCACCTCATTTCACTGCTGCTTCCTAATCCCCTCCCAGGTCTCCCCCGTTAAGATCTGCGACTTTGACCTGGGCAGTGGCATCAAACTCAATGGGGACTGCTCCCCCATCTCCACCCCGGAGCTGCTAACCCCAGTGAGGACCCACGGGGTCAGGGGCGAGCTGGGAGGGGCGGGGCGAGGGGACAGGATTACATTCTGTCCAAAGAAGTGGTTTGGGACTTCCGGGAGAGATGTGGGGCAGCTTGTTGTCTCCGTGCTGGGGCCTTGAAACTCGGGATTTCGCTTAGCAACAGCCGCTGATTGGCCCTTCGGCTGTGATGGGGCGGGACCACGGTCAGGC